GTTTATATGTGATTGATTATTTTTCTTCATAGTGAAAATAAACAGTACTCAACAAAGTATGGTATAAAAATAAATAGAAATAATTATTAATCGTAGTACCGACGATTTTACTGACCGTTTAAGTGGCCACGACGAGTTAAAAGAACGTTTCAAGGATAGTAACTTTTGCGCACATTTAATAGGTATACACTCACGAGGCAACCGAATATAAGAAATGTTGATTGAAGAAAGAAGTGAATGAAAAGTTGCTAAAAGATGAGATCGAACACGACCTATTAGATAACTCATCTTTACTCGGATAAACAGGTGTGCATGGATTTAAATGCTTCTTGTTTTCTGTTTCTATTCCGGTTTTAGAGATTACATTGACTATAAACGTACAAAAGCTGGAATTTATTACATTTGATATAAAATAAGAGATTAGTAGCAAAGCTCTGTGGTGTTGATATTTAGAATGGTAGCTTAGAATAGAACGGGAAGTCATAAGTTTTTAGAAAATTTCGGAGGTCAGAGTAAACTTTATTTCTCGAGTATCCCCAAATTTTAGTGTGAAAATCTTAATGCAATCATTCCTTCAAGTTATCTTCATCTTTAATCCTATACCATTAATCTGTTTACTAAGTGAATGACTCAATTAAAGAATTTTTTTACAAAATGCAATAAATACTAAAATGGTAAAATTTTGTTTCTGTATTATCTTCCATTGTAGAATTTCATCTCAATGTTACCTTTTGTACGTAATCATTAATACCATTTATAACCTTTAACATTAACTCCAAAACTACCGAGCAGTTAAATTGACGTTTTGAAATTCCTGTATAGAAGTTTCTATTCATACATCATACATCTGTTGAGACTTTAATTAATTTATAATTCAATTCGCGTATTGCTAAATCAATTTCTTTAATAATTTCTCAGAGAAACATCTGTTGCCATTAAAATAATTGCAAAACGCAGAAATCAAGAATGGGTCATTTTGACCCGTCTGGTAGTTTTAGTATTAACACTAGAACTACGTAGCAGTCAAAATGACTGGTTTCGATCTTTTTGTTTCGCAATTATTGATATCTTAAAAGCACTGAATGTTCGAAATGATCTTGAAAACAAATAGTTTCACTTGAATACTATGATGAATGTCTGAAGAAATTGAAAATAATCTATCGTTACAATTTTTATATTGATTACATATTAATCGTATGAAATGCTCGGTAGTTTTAGTGTTAAATAACTTTCTTCTTTGTCCTGTAAATTTGAAGTTCGGTTACCATATTTTCTACAAACACTTTTCAATAATGATTGCTACCGTATGTATCGCTATGAAAATAATCGAATCGCGGAATACCAGCGTGTCGCCGCAGCAACGCTGTGACACAGATACAGGAAATTTTCTAGAGAGGCCATATGCATCGTCCCCCGACGCGTAAACACAGTCTCTCGCGTGCAGAACCGTCGCTTCACGCGCACTTGTCGACGGGACAGCGTTTATTGCTCGGTGGGACGAATTCCTCTGAACATGAATAAAAGTCGTACGATTGATTCATTGGCATTCGAGTAAGAGCGCAATAGCATGTTCATAAAATCCGTTCTAAATTGAAAAAGAAACCTAAGTAATACATTCGTCCCGGCAATCGCTGCGGCAAATTGCTTTCAAGTTTTACTTTGTCTTTTCCATCCGCGGATTCCTTGAAACCGAAGGTTCCTGCCAACCGTCTGTTTCAAACGTAAAAGAAATCTAATTTGTTGCTTGATTAAAGTATCTGATTAACTTCACTGCAACAGGTGTCTCGGTTACTACGATTACTCAGTATCGATGATTCGTTTTAACATTTAAATTTTCAATAACGAACGAGTCGGTTGATTGACTGTCGATATGTACAGTTTATCGTTCATTTTTTTTTCTTTCTATTGATTAAGAATACGTAATGTAGATATGGCACACACTTTATGTAAAATTAACTTTATCTTTTCTACAAAAACTATTGCAAATTGTTGCGAACCTAATTCTTATTAATAATTATTTATATTACATTATTTTATATTATATTTTGTATCAAAACTGTACTACTCAACAAAAATTGTTATCAAAACTACGAGCAGTCAAATGAAGCTGTATCAAAAAATATGCTACTAATTAAATAAAATTGTTATCAAACCTATACTACTAGGCAAATAAAATTTAGTCCACAGGGGTTTTGAAAGTTTCCTCCACAAAATCTCCGAAAATCTTTTTCCCTGGCTGTACCGGAATTTCATCAAGCAATTTCTAAGACGCAGTTTCGTCTCGGATACGCAGAAAGCTTGTCACAACCGCGTTTTTCACTCGCGTGTTAAACGGGCCAGGTCGCTCGCGGGGCAAAGAATGAGTTTTTCCAATTCCGGGGTGGCGATCGGTTCGTACAGCGGTAAGGACAGCCCGTCTAACATTATTTTCGAAGAGATTTAAACGGTCTGCCGCCCGAGAACCGGTTTTCCCTCGAGCTTGCCTTTATTCGTTGGAATTCTTTTAAGTACCGTTCGGAATATTGCATCAGGACCCAAGGTCGTTTATGAGTTTCTTCGACGGATTCGTGTTTAACTATTCATCCGGTGAGCCACGTTCACGTTATTCCAGTCGTGGCTGTTCAATTATTTGGCATAGTAAAAAATCTGTTTCCGATGAACCTCAATTGACTAGACGGATTCCATGTTGCCAAACGCACCAAATTTCTGACGCGATGATATTCGTAGGCTTCCGGAAAAATGACAAATGAAAAGGGATAAATAACAACAGCGATTACTTCGATGATTTGTACATTATCCTAAATAAAACAGATTTTCCAGAAAAATCGGAAATAACTTTTTACTATACTGAATACATTACCTGTTTCAATTGTTAACAAAACCACTCGTTATCTTTTCTATTTTGTCTTCCCTGATTTTCGAGAAATAAATTTGCTGTTCAACTTGTAAATATTAGGTTGGCCAAAAAATCTCGCATGTTTAGATGAAGTTTATAGAAGAAACTATTCCTGTTGTCTTCTAGTTTACTTATTTGTTAATTGAAAAGGAAAATGAGAAGATTTCCCAGCCAATCTAATACTTTAGCCCTTGCTGCAATGTGTCGAACCTTCATGACTACGAAGCTTTCCGTAAGCTTCAGAGTTACTCTAACGACCCATCTTTTCGAAAGAAAAGAAATATTTCCTTCACATTTGAGATTCTACCCACGGTACATTTATGTCCGACACAGACTTTACGTTATAATTTGTATGTCATCTTCATTACATTAATTGGACGTAAATATCCCGAGTAAATTACTTATGTAGTGGAGACTGTTCTAAAACTTAGTCGATGGAAAGGAACAGCCGGGATTAGAGTTAATTAGAGCAAAATGTGTGAGAAATGTAACAGGGAGAAAAAGTGGGATCGCGTGTAAAAAGTCAAGTGGCTTTGCTGAAATCGCGGATATTTCACATCAATTAGGGGGGAGAAATTAGCGTTTCTGTTGATAATCGGATATTTGAGAGCGTTGCGTCACGTTACAGCGTCGTAAAGATTATTACATCGCAATGAAACGGATATAATAATAATCGTTATTATTGATATTTCGCGCATCCGGATCTGTTTATCGCCGACGGCGGAGTGAACAACGCAACGTAACGTCTGCTAATTACCACGTGCACGCTTTTACTTTCTACGTGCGAGCGGCAAGGCGAAATGCTCGGCATTGCGCAACGAGAAATTGGAATATCCGCTTGGTATTCATGTTTCATTGAAAATTTCGTCGGAGAAATCAAAAATTTCCAATCGATCGATTGATAAGTACGTTGGATAATCTGTGTACCATCGATTAACGTTTCGCGATAAACAAACTGCGGATCTGCGTCCATTTATCGTATCTTCAGATTTGTGGAATACAAGATGTTTCTTCAATTTTTACACGTTAACGACAGTTGATAGTATATTTAGTATAATTTCAGTTGTATTTTAAGTATATCGAACGTTTCAGCTGATGATAGGAATGTTCTTTTTATCGCGACGTTTGCGAAGCGACTTAGGAAAATTGAATTTGCATAAAGATCCGAAGTATTCCCCTTCGCGGTTCTTTTCCTTCGACGTACACGAATTCGAGCCCGCTTCGAAACGCATGTCTAGGAAAAAAGTAGCGCGCCGCAGCGCGATCAACCTTGATACGTGACGCGGGTTTCTTATACGCGATCGTGTCCCTTTCTAGCGAGTCACCGGGCTATCTTTGTCCGTCAATTATACGAAGAATCGGTGAAACTGGACTTTTCTGGAAGAGAACCGAGTCAGTAGGCGTGCAAATAAACCATCACACCGTTCTTTATCTGTTCCATGAGCTACCAAGAATGTCTTTTGTTTAGTAAAAAAGTAAACAGTAAAGTCTACAGTAAAAAAGATGATTCGGCGAAATGCTGTATGTAGAGAATCAAGTATCTGGGAATTCAAAGATATTAATAAAGTGAAGTGAATTGCTTTGACCAAAAGAAGGAGTAAGAAGTCATTCGAGGCTTTCTGATCAGTATCGCATCTTGTGCCTTCAATTAATCCATTAGCAGTGATGACGAAACGTCGGGAAAATCTTTCTATTTGAAATATGGTTCGCTCTCGAAAGCCTAGAATAACTGCAGTTCTTCAAGTTGCGAAAGTTACAATGATTAAAATCATGAAAGCCTCGAATAACTGTAACTATTCAAATCACGATAACTTCGAACAACCACAACTTTCCAAGACCAAAGTACAGTTGGCCACGTCTGCGCCGAATACCCACAAGCTAAAAGTGCACAAGGGTAAGGGGACTCTTCCACTCAGGACACTTGCGTAACTTATAGGGCAACAATAGCGCCTAGGGTGCTGTGGCACAGTGTTGTTATTGGCCGAGCTTCGCCAGTTCCCTTGCCCCCGTGCACTGTTAGTTTCCGGCTAGTCGGCGTAGACGTGGCGAGCCAACTGTACCTCGTCCACTATGAGGATTAAGAAACACGATCGTTTGTTTCCAGAACATACAGAAGTCGAACGACACGTCGCAGCACAGCGAGGGTAGCACTGTGTCGGCAAACGCGACGAGAACATCCGCGAGGAGCGAGAACGAGAGCGACCAGTCCGGTCGGGAGAACGGAAACGGGATCAGGAACGACAGTCCAACGATGGGCGGTCACGTGCACGGGACCGGGAACGGCAGCGTCGGCGGGAACGAGCCGCGCCAGGGACTGAACCTGAAGATGAGCGCGAAAGAGCTCAGAGCTCAGCTCGCCGCGCGCAAGAAGTACGACCCGAAGAAAGAGTCGATCGGGTTCAAGGACAAGTTCGACATCGTGCAAAAGTTATAACCGATCGCGCGCGTCCCCGTTCCCCGTCTCGACAGAGTCGTTTCCGGCCACGCTCCGCGGTTCACGGTGCTCCGCCCGGTCCCTCTCTAACGGTAGCAGGAATCGTTCGCCCCATTCCCGACCTTGCGACCCTCCGGATGTCTACTACCCGAAACACGAGACGAGGGCCGTGTCTCAATCGTCGAGGATACTTCCGGCGAGCAATCTCTCAACCGCGAAAAACGTCGCGCCGCGGATCGCGCGACAGACGCGTCAGCGATAAGTTTCATCGACGTTGTTTTTGGATCAACCAGAATCCAGCGGAACTAGGTCTTCGATGTTAATAGTATCGGCGACGAGAACGTCTGCGTCAACGAGATACATTGTACGTTTTATGTTTGAAATGTTCGAGAATCGAAGTTTCGAAGCAACATGGTGGATCGCGGTTATTTTTGTTATTGATGTTAGGTTTGTTATTGGCCCTTTAAAATTGGATGCGTATCATGTAAACGAATGTTGACTTTCTGTAATTGAATGAATGCGAAGAATCCTTCGAGGACTTTAGGATGTTGCAAGATCGAACGGAATCGAGGCCACCGATGAAAATGGTAACAGCGTGCAAGTCCCGTGAAACTTTTGGTTTTCAGCGGATTCTTGTTGGAAAAAACGATTGCAAATTGGACGCGACACGTTTCACAGTTGATCGAACCGAGCCAGGAGTTTCTCGTTCCAGCGTGCCGCGCGGTTGTCCCGCTACCTGCAAGAACGGGGGGTTCGCGCGCAAGCCAAGGACGATCGCGACGAGCGACGCGGGAGAAAGTGTAACGTGTTGCGACGACGCGCCGCGGCGCACCGCGTCATCGCTAATTTCTGTTATCTCTTATCAAATTCAAGACACGCGCCGTGTCCCGTGTGTATCGTGCGTTGCGCGAACGGATTTCGCACCGAAATTGCGGACGAATCCAAGGCTCTCGGAGAAAAGTAGTACAGCAGGTCTCCTTTTATCCGAACTCGTACCCGGCGAAATAGTTTGGGTCATCTGATCGTTAGGATAAGGATCTCATTCGTTTATCGTTGATTCTTACCTCCAACAAATGATATTCAACTAAACGAGTGTCTGCCTCGATTATTCGAATTGAGAAACGTTTTCATCGATGATGGAGGCTCATCGATATTAACATAAAACTGAATATGTTTATTTCGTTGCAATAGCGTGGTGCACGAGGATTGAACAGCTATTCAAGGAAACGTTCGAACATATTTGTCATGCTATTTAACGATATTTTTTATGTGCTTCGCCTACGAGTAGATGGTACGTCGGTGTTCATAAATGACGAGCATAAGGTTCATTCATGTAAGCATTAATTGCGAGTCATTCTGTGCGATGGTATCGGAATCGACGAAGGTATCGTAGATATTAAAGATATCGTAGATTTCGGTTGACGATGTAGTAAGGCTTGTTTCGTTTCAAAATCGAACTCCACGGATATATCGATCGAGAGAAATAATTTCGGATAAACGGAGCTCTGCTGCGCAAGATTCTCCAGTGTTCTACGACGGTTTGCCAAGATCCGAACGAATTATGTAATTTGATGGAATGTAACAGCGCGCGCGGCAGGAACACCGCGACACAATGCTGGGAAGAGTCGCGCGATGTTTCCACGTTAGCGTCTCCGGAGAGTCTCTCGCAGGACTCGCAGAAAATGTTTGGGTACTGTCTCAACTCCGCATTGCTAAATATTACGGCAACCTGTTGTGCAACATTCAATTATCGTCGTCGTGATCCTTTTTGCTTCGTGTTTCGTACCTTGCGCGAATACTTGGAGACCGGTCGTTCTATTTTCCTCTCCTTTTTTTTTCTGTTCGCCACGTGTCGGTATGCACGCGCATTCCGAGCTGCGATCATTTATTCGATCATCCAACGAGCAGAGTACCCTAACTGTCTCGAGGAGCCTTTGACTTTCAACGTGTCGTAGCGAGAAAGCTTGTTGAAAATAAAAAGTCGGGATTTAAGTAGCGATCGATAGTGTCCTGTTGAATTCGAAATTGTAGATTACATTTCGTAAGAATGCGTATTAGGTTATACGATGCGCCAAATGCTCGTCAGAAGGTGATGGCAACAGTTAGCGAATCCTGCTCATAAGCGTGGCGTGGCAGACACGCGGAAATGCAACAGACAGTTGCAGCTAAGTACTTTGTTATTACTCGCGTAACACGTCGATCTTCTCGTCGGCGATTCGAGATACGCACGGTACATCGTATTACATCACCCAATTTCGGACATGCCAATTTCTGTTCGCAAATATAATCTGGTCACGTATTTAGCGCGTTGCGTGCGCTTAACGTTAAATCGACTTTAACCCTTTGAGTTCACGGAGAATCTACCTTAAAGCTATTTCACGCCAATATTTCACTGGAAACGCTAATCCTTCGCCTTATAATCAACATCAATTATTATATAATACATAATGATTTTATAACAATTACATTCATATCAAATCATAAATCAGTACGAATGAAAAATTAACTTTATGTAATACATAATTATATAATATACAACAATTACATTTATATCAAGTATCAGAGATTGTACAAAGACAAAATTACATTCATCAATCTTGAATATTTTTCGATTAATAACAATCCAAATGAAACGTTCCACGATTGCGAATGATTAACTTTCACGGAAAATATTCCTCTATACCGTGAGCATATAATTTCTTTTCCGGCTAGGGTATTATCGAGAACGACGGAAATTGTTGCTAGCCTCTCACGGAATAAATCATAAGGCGCGGTGTTAACGTGTTATTGGTGACTGAGCGTGTTCTCCGGAGACTCGAAGTGTTAATACGCGATCGATGAAGTTGATTTTACGCCGGCTTTCGCGTCTCCGGTGTACGTAACGCGAATATCGATACAGAATTCCTGGAAACTTCGGCACGGTTACGTTGTTCGGAGCCATCCCACGGTTAAAACGCGATTTCTTCGTATCGCCAGGGCTGCGTTTTATACGGCCCGTCTATTGTCCGGGATAATTAGGATCGATACGATCGTCAGCCTCTTTCGTAACTCGAACACACGCTGTTTTCCATTTGAAATACGACAAAGACGGCCGTTTCACTGGAATCGTTCGACGCGAGGTCGCGCGTTTCCTCGAAATCGTCGCACAACGAATTTTTCGTACCGCCGACAGGACTGCTCTGGTATCAGGGTAGATTCCCTTGCAACCTTGCCCGATTTTCTTTTGCGAGATTATCCTATTCGAGAGAATTCTGCGGTTACCCGGCGAATGGCGTGAGTCACGTTTTCGGAGAACTTCTCACTTTACGTCTCGGTCGAGACCTGGCAAAATAGAATTCTACTTTTCAAACGAGAGAAATATTTAGAAGCAATTTATTCTTTTTAACACTAGGTTGACGGGATGCGTCGATTTGACGCATGAATTTTATAAACATTATTTGGTAAATGGTGCACGAATATGAATGCTAATTTTTAAACCTCTAATTTCCAAGATCTAAATGAACGAACACTGATTTTTTTAGGAACAATAGCATAAACTGTAATAAATGTCCGTAAATCTAGTGTTAAAAAGGGAATCGATATTGAAATCGGTAATCGATACCGTTAGTTATCGGCGAATAATACTGCATATTTTGAAAATTGGAATATTTCGCCTCGCAGTCGCAGAATTTCCTTCACCCGATTACAAATTCATAGTTAATCCGCGAACGAAGTCGTGAACAATTCGAAGACGAAGATAAACCGTGTTGCTTCTCGTTGAATTTTCTTTGATCCGGATATCCGGGCACCGGAAATCCGTAGTTCGTGAAACGAGCGCCGATCGAGCACCGATAACGAGCACCGAACGAAACGAAATTCGTTCTCAAGACCTATGGAAAATCGCTGATCCAATCGGGCTTCCTCGATCGCGAAGTTAACGATCTACAACAATCTCGGATCGAACTCTATTTCCGATAGATACGTCCGGACCTTTTGTCCGGCGAGTTTTGTAAATTCTCTAATATACTTTTCCTTTTTTTTCTTCTTTTTTGTTTGTTTGTTTGTTTTCATCGCAACATTTCGTTGCGAGGTTTGATGCATAACGGTATCCGCTTCTGTAAATATTAGATCTTCGTGTGTCAAGGTCGGTGCAACGATCGAAACGACTTGCTTGAGAGCGGGGAAATGTCGCTGATATATTGTTCCGTTTGAAAATGATTGTCGTTGACTGGTGCCAATAGAACATGCGTACAAGGCGACATTTTTCTGTCGCGATGGAAAATGCGATTGACAAGTGCGCCGTCAACCCTCGTACATTATTCTCAATTTAATTTGCCCTTTAAAGGAAACAGTATAAAGGACACAAAAGGGTCGTCTCTATTTTAATTACGTTGATAATTATTGGAGATATAAAAGATGAATTGTTAAATTTGCGATTACTTTATTGAAAATAAAGAAAACGATATTTTCCTCTATTTGAAAATAATGAAACTAATGAAAATAATGAAATGGAGGAGGGTTGATGGTTCTCGATATCGATAGGTAGCAATAGACGTTGCGATTTTCTGATTGAAAAATGTCAATTAATTCTCTCAGCAGAACGTTTTCGGAGAAGTCATGTTCTCGAGTTCGACGGAAGTTGCTAGCAAAAACTTCTGCACCGGTTCCTTGAAATATGTATATAAACATCCCGCGTGAGGTCCAAGTACACACGTTGTTACGATTATCGCACGCATTGTCCAATGTTATGTCGTAAGCGTTAAATTTTAAGCATTATGTTTAACAGAGAAGACGACCTAGCTGTACGTTGTTCATCAAATTACGTTTACCCGCGTACATCTGTGTATAAATATCGTTGTACGTAAATGTCGTTTGTTGTCCTTGTTTCTTGTCACTACTATCGGCCTTATCCGTAATCATTGATAACTATAATCTGTTAACCGGGAATAACGAGGTCCCCTGGTCATTTATATTCAGTCGTATTATTTGTTGTGCGATTGTTATAAACGAATAGTAAAGTACGGTAACTTTTACGTGGATATACGTGTCGAATGGCCAAGAGTTGCAAAACAAAGATAAAATAGAATTTTATTTTCTGCGCCAATAACATCGTTGAGTTAAAGATAGTATGAAAAGGAAGAATGAGATTCTATACAAAGGTTCTATCTTATTATTTTTCTTTTTTTGTTGAAAACTTCTATGAACTATAAATGCATAAAGATCTATAGTTTAGTCCTTGGTTACCTTTTTTGTTTTAATAATTATTTTTTTGTGATCGTCAGATCACTTGATCTGTTGCCTCAATGTTGTTCCTGCATGAGCAGCATGAAAGGGTTTCCACAGTTGATAGAAAGTAAAATTATTCTGCGTTAGGATATTCATATTCAGAGGAGAGATATAGAAGGAAAATAGAAAAATATGCCTGTTGACTTTTGATAAATGGATTCGTTGTGAAGCCATCTCGTGGTAAATGCGGAAACTGTTACGAAACTGTATGGAGTTACTATTAACGGATGCTCAAATATATTTTGAAATTGAATATATGATTTTAAACTTTTATTGTATTAATTCACAATGATATCACTGCTTTTAAATTCTGCTTCACTTCACATTCAGTAATGTGTAACAATCAAGAACACAATGACATAGACAGGAAAATATGAATAACAGAATTCAATACATTTATTTGAATTAAATCGTACGCAATGTGTGCGATGAATATACTTGTTACAATCATGGACAAAGTATCAGAATAGATTGAATACTTGATGATATTTCATGATTCAGATCCTTTGCTTTATCGACCTGGAAAGCCAAGCAGATATCTGTCAGTTGGTAAGCTATATAAAATGGCAGTGCCTTTTTTTATTTTCTTGTCTGAATATGACATTTTTCGGACCATCGAACATAAAGTTCATAAAAGATGTTAGTTTATACCCTATACTCACCGGTGACTTCACATACAAACTCGAAAATCGATTAATCGAAACTGGAATATCGATTAATCGAAAATCAATATAAAGGCACAAACGAGGTATAAGGATATACATTGCAAGCTTACAGGGCTTCCTGTCACATATGCTGAACTATCGACTATGTAAAAAATCAGAGATTTTGCTCTGCCCTCTACGGCTATAAAACGGCGAATAGGAAAACTGAATCCAGCAAAGTGATCGAAGTTGACCAAGTAGTAAATATGGTAAAGTAGCATACAGACGTCACAGACTTAAGATATATACAAACTGTGCATACAAATATAGTTTTCTGTCTTCTGTTCCGAAATACCGAAACCGTAAAAACTGCAAAGATCAACTATTGAATTATAGAAGACTGCAACATGAAAGTTGTGTGTTTCGAAAGCCAATTTGTACAAGTTACCGACTCTGAAAATTACATTGTTGTCGAATGTTGAATTGGCACGAAACTCAATGAAGCTGACAACAAAAACGCGAGATGCGTCTTGAGGTCGTAAAAATTCAAATACCAGATCGTAACCATAATCGAAATATGAGTTAATAATTATTCCATTAAATAATTACGAATACATGCACTTGTTCACTCGTTTGTAAATAAACATTATTTAATTAGTTTTTCGGTTGAATAAATACTACTTTCATGGTTTAAATGTACGCGTATTATAAATTTGTTGCCGCTAAATCATAGCAAAAATGAAGTATATTAAAATCTTGTATTATCGGTAACGTTGAGTGTGACTCGAAAGTGGTAAGGGGATCCCGTGATCCCAGTGAGTTTGTGACAGAATTTTACAATGCATGTCTACCCTATACCTCGTCTGTGATAAAGGCAACATAAAAAAGATGTATCTCGATAGGATCATTTTTAGTGCTGTTTTTAAACAAGCTCGCTAATAATCCATAAGTAAAATAAAATAAAAAAATTAACGAAGAAAACAATCTAAAGTTTAAATTTCATGCGTACTCGCGCCTCTACTCAGTAGGTAAAGTCGTTGCGTATAACAATATGGCAGAGTTACATCCTCTCTTCAATCCTTTGCTCCTATCATCCACAGATGTGGTCTATGGTTACTTGTTTTAAGTTCATGTGTGTGGTAGACGTGCACGAGTGTGTGCATGCGTGTCCTGGCTCGTGTCTCGTACCGTTTCGAACCTCAAAACTTGTTCGTTTTTTACCGGAAAAATTTCGAACAGTTAGTGAGTGAGTACATTCTCGACTACGTTTACCGGGATATTATAGAACAATGACGATGATCGACCGCGGAGTATGCCTCGCGTTTGTTCTGTCGGTCAGTCTGTCGATGCTATTGGGCCACGTAGCCGGCGCCAAGGTGCTGCAGATTCGTGGCATACCTACAGCGAAGAATCCTTTGTATTCGCCGGATCAGGACTTCCAGTGTCTGGACGGTAGCCTGTTGATACCTTTCTCGCGGGTCAACGATGATTATTGCGATTGTGCCGACGGCAGCGACGAGCCGGGTACATCCGCCTGCACCAATGGTTCCTTTTACTGCGAGAATTCCGGACACAAGGCCCGTTACATACCTTCCACTTGGGTGAACGACGGCATATGCGACTGTTGCGATGCCACCGACGAATACGGTTCAGGTAAGGAGTGCGCAAATAATTGTAATGAACTTGGTAGGGAAGCTAGGCTTGAACAACAGAAGACAGAGGAATTGGTCAGAGAAGGGAACAAAATAAGGACAGAGATGATCTCGAAGGGCAAGCAACTGAAGAATGATTATCAAAGTAGTCTGGTAAAGCTCAGGGTTGACTATTCAGAAGCAGTGCTCGTTAAAAAAGAAAAGGAGGTTTTGAAGAATCAAGCAGAGGAACGAGAAACTGCTGCACTGGAGAAATATAAATCAGCTGAACCAGAGCAACCTGCTACAGAAGAAGGAGAAGAGGAGAAAGAAATACAAGAGTCAGAGATTGAGGACTACTTTAAAATGTTGGATTCAGATGGAAGTGGTACTATAACCATAATGGAGTTGAAAACCAGAGTAACATTCGACAAAGATAGGGATGGTGTTGTGTCAGATGAAGAGGCACTGTATTTCTTAAACAACCAGGAGGAAGTCAATCTTCAAGAGTTCATGGATTCAGCCTGGTCATACATTAAGCCCTTCTTAATGTTAGAACAAGGTTGGTCATGAACAGTGTAGTTACTGATGTTTGTTCTGTTTATCCAATTTCTAAGCTTTATTTCATTTATTATTTTGTAGGTGTGTTCAAACCAGATGATCAGAAAGAGGAAGAAGGAGAGAGCCACGAACAGGAAGGGGAAGATCATGAACAAGGAGAAGAACTGTGGGAACAAGGTAAAGAAGAGGATGATAATAGCGAGGGAGAAGAGGCAGCAGCTGGTCATCAAGAAAAGGTTGAAGAATCTGGAATTCAATACGACGAAGAGACTCAAGCCCTCATCGACGAAGCCACGACCGCCCGAGAGAATTTTCAGACCGCAGAGAAATCTGTGAGTGATTTACAGACAGCAATTAGGAAGCTCGAGGAGAAATTGGATCGCGATTATGGCGCAGATCAAGAATTCGCGCCTTTGGATGGAGAATGTTTCGAGTACACAGACTTGGAGTATATCTACACCCTATGCATGTTCGGAAGAGCGACGCAGAGGTCTAAATCTGGCGGTAGCGATATAATTCTGGGTCACTGGAATGAGTGGGCGGGAACCGATGGCCAAAAGTACTCGAAAATGAAGTACGACAGGGGTCTCACTTGCTGGAATGGTCCAGCGCGTTCCACAATGGTCAGTCTCAGTTGTGGTAAGGAAAACAAACTCATCTCAGTAACAGAACCAATGCGTTGTGAGTACCTCATGGAATTCTCTACCCCGGCTCTGTGTAATCCTAACTTGGAGAGCTCCGATACACACGATGAATTGTAAATTTCGTGTCACAATAGACCTGTGCGAACAAACACAACATAGACGAAACACTGTGCAACTCCGAGACGTAAAGCGTAACCAATGCAAGGATAAATAGTGGCCACGTCAAACAATCCGGTATTAGTCCTGTTTCCTACTATTCTGTTTGAACGTTCACACGAAAGTATTTCAACGCTTGTAATCAATGAAGCAAACGAGTTGATCCGAGAACATGATACTTCGTTAGTCTTTTCAGTTAGACAATGTACACTCTAAGTAACAGGATTCAATAGAGCTCTGTGTAATTTTTCTCAAAGCTACTTAAGTTTGGCTGGTATAAGCCAGATGCTTGTATTTTTAGTTGTAACAGTCTCTCTGGATCACCAGTCTAATTTCTGTATTCTCTTCGTTGTTTGTATTTGCAAGTGTTCAGATACTTTCTGGTCGCCGTTGCATTTAAACGAATGATAAACTTGTTCGATTCCTAACTGAGCATTGTAAGAACGTACAAGCGTTTAATTTAACGAGTTTCTACGATCGTGATTAGCACAATGTTTTTTACCGTCACCGATAAGCACAGCCGATAAACGTCGCTGCGAGCCTAGTCATCCCTTGCGCCTTACGTAACTACAGAGTTCCATCGTGTCTGCGAACTGTTTATTCGTGTTCGCACCTCAGAAATTCCTGATCGCGTTGCCCGAATAAACAAGCGGCCGAAAGTCGTCGGAATCCGCGGAATCTACCGGCAACAACGCGTTAACACTTTGCGGTCCGCCGACGGTTCTGTGCTGTCACAATTGCAATCGGTCAAACAAGTATTTTTACACTTGGGTTTTTCGTAAGAACTTAAGATAGCAAACGGTAACGTGCCGGTACAGTCTAGATGATTTTAAGTCATTATAATTTGTCATTAAAAAATTATGCAGTAGAAGGAAAATGGTATTGTTAAGAAAAAAAGTATTTAAACAAACATACATGTTTTTGCCGTTACTCAATAGTTTTTAGATATACTTTTTATGGTTCGACCATTAACATTCTAAATAATGACGCAATACCAATGAGTCAAGTTTTTTAGAACCTATAAATAGCTTTTTTATTATTTTTCTATAACATGTCGCTACTGTAATAAGTTACTATGCCGACCATCAGAGTTTAAATCCCTTCATCATGAAACTACCGCATTATTTTCAGATGACAAATTACTAACGTTTCCAAACGGGCACTTTATTTTCAATAAATAATGTACTAAAAGAAATCTAGACCGTATCGGTGTGCTATTTATTTGCGGATAAAGTTATCGCGATGAAACCGAGTGTATCAATATTTACCTTTTTGACCTATTCTATCCCGTCGTTGCGGTCTCTTGACGACATAACACTGTCGTTATTTCAATATTGTGATCTGTTGAGAGCTGCCACGCAGTTGCAATCGAAAGTACTTTTTATCTTATCGAAAAATCTCAAAAAAAAAGAACACGATGTCGGTTGGCGGTAATTTTTCGTAGCTTACGCTCATATCACTATTTCTGTAGAGGAATGAAGCACCTCCGAAATTGAAATGTACCAAACTAAAATGGCGTCGGGGTTCCAGAGCGAACCGTAAAGTGTTAATTGCCGTTAGTGAAGTTTGTTATAAAATCGATCTAAATATATCCGCGGTGCGCGAACGAGAATCATCGTTAAACGCGGTTATTGCCAATCTATTGTGTCACCGTCACATACATTCCTGCTCTTTTTCTACGAGAAATTTTTTACTACATGATTCGGCCGATGTTGCGTGCTGACCACACACACACACACACACACATACATACACATACACACGTGTAAACACGCATACATATACGTTAACTAAAAAACAAAAAGGAGACGCGAACTCGCGACCGAATCTCTGCGAAGGTCGAGCATTTTTTTCGTGAAAAT